TATATTTTTATATATATATATATATAATATTGAAAATGTTAATTCGTTTTATAAAGGTCCTTCTTTCTGAGACAAACATATATACTCCTTTGACTTTTTACCTTGCTTCCAAATAAAAGCCAAGGTTAAAATATAGAGCAAGAATCTAAGTGCTGATATTAAATCAATTCTATTACAGATAAGAAAAATGGTCATGTAAATAACCAAAGTTCAAGTTTCATACGAACAAGCACTGTGGCAGGGATAATTGGAAAAATAAGTATAGAAAATGAAATGTGATGTAGCAAATGAACCTGCTATTGCTAATAATAAAAATTGTCTTCAAGTATTATGTTCTTCAGAAAGCATTGGGGAAACTTCAGCAATTTGTAAGCCTTCCAGTTAAGCTTGCCCTCAGCAGACAGACAATATTTTGGCAGGCTTCCCAAAAAATGGTTTTTGTTTTACAGTGCTATGCAAAATCAATTTCCATAAAACCACCAGATTAAAATCTCTGCTGTTAAAGCCAAAGATAAATAAATAAAAAGGCATTAAAAAGTGTTTTTTTTTCTCCCTTAAAGCTTTTGAAAGCTTTGATAATATTCAGATGAGGAGTTTTACATTTGCAAGTGACATTTGTTTAAGCCTCTCTCTGATACTGTAGCAATCATTTTTTTATTTCTGCTCCTTGAGCCTTTCCAGCAGACCAGGGTAGACAGCATCATCTAATAACAGCCGAAGTTATTCAAAGCGGTGTTTATCTCTTTGCTCTTTGTAATTGGTGTAGTTTATTTATTTATTTTTATCTTAAATGTTGCGTGGGGGAAATACACAGATAGACTTCCCGCTGCTTAGAATCAATAAACTGGAAATTTGTTGAATTACACCAATTAGTAGAGACATCAACAAGACCAGACATATGCAAATGACTACACTGACATTTTCCTCATAGGTTGTCCTCTTTGTCAATATTTGAATGGTGGGAAATATCTAATAAACTGCATTTTTGGCTTTGGGAGGTATCAGGGATTTGTGGTTAACCTCCTGACACTAGTCCAGTTCCCAGCCGTGCTTGCGAATCATTTTTTAATGTTGGATAGGTCACCAAGTTTCCCCATACTTCCGAACATCATCTGTTATTTGGATGGTAACTAGCACTCATGCTCCTCCTTTTTGCCTTATCTCCATGTGTATGCATCCTTATTTTTGTTCTGCACTTCTGTGCTTTACAGCCATAACTCTTGTCCATGCTAAAGTATTGAGTAAACTGTTGAGACCTTTGAATTATGGATGATAAGAGTTCACACAGCTGCATGACATAAATCTATTTAGGGGAATGATTCCTAGTTGGAAATAATAAGGAATAACAGGCTGAGGATTGACCTTCTGAGAGCAGCTCTGCAGAGAAGGACCTGGGTGTCATAGTGGATGACAATTTGACCAGAAGGCAGCAGTGTGCTCTTGTGACCAGGAAGGCCAATGGGATTCTGGGGTGCATTAGGAGCATCTCCAGCAGGTCAAGGTAGGTGATCCTGCCCCTCTACTCACTCCTGGTGAGGCCACATCTGGAGTACTGTGTCCAGTCCTGGGCTCCTCAGTACAAGAGGGATGTGGAGCTACTGGAGAGGCTCCAGCGCAGGGCCACAAGGATAATCAGGGGCCTGGAACATCTGCCCTGTGAGGAGAGGCTGAGGGAGCTGGGCCTGTTCAGCCTGCAGAAGAGAAGGCTGAGAGGAGACTTGATCAGCCTCTATAAGTACCTCAAGGGAGGCAGTGAGGAGGATGGTGCTGTCTTCTTTTCACTGGTGGCCACCGACAGGACTAGAGGAAATAGCCAGAAACTAAAGCATCAAAAGTTCCACAGGAACTTAAGGAAAAATTTCTTAAGAGTGAGGGTGACAGAGCACTGGAACAGGCTGCCTAGAGAGGTTGTGGAGTCTCCTTCTCTGGAGATCTTCAAAACCCGCTTGAATGCAGTCCTGTGCCATGTGCTCTAGGTGACTAGATGATCTCTAGAGGTCCTTTCCAACCTTAACGATTCTATGATTCTATAATTCTGTATTTGGCATCTGTGAAAGACCTTTTTCAGTGGCTGGCGATTCTCTTGGTTTTAAAATGGCTATTATACCCTCGATTGTGGAAGATTTTCTTCTTCCAAGGAGACCAGGACTCCTGCGCAGGAGATGCTTTGGATGCTGAGCACAAGGTGCCTGTGGGTAGGGATCTTAGCCTGAATGCTGCAGCACTAAGCTCTGTGGCAATGCTTCTGCACTGAATATAAAAAGCAAATTTTTCTCTCTCTTTTTTTTTTTTTTTTCCTCTGTGATTCAATTTTTATTGCCTTTCGGCTTGGTAAGACCAATTATGGTTGCTCATATCAGTACTTCTACCCAATAATTTTGCTCATTGTATTCACCACCAGTAGCCTGATTTCTCTCAGTCCTGTTGTAGCTTACATGCTACGCATACCACGGCACTATCTAAAAGTGGGATTTATCTCACATAACTTTAGTTATCTATGAAGGAGTCACTCTGGGCTTTCTTTATACTCCACAGTAAGAAATAAGCACTTTGAGGGTGAAATTCATCTCACCTGTTTTATTTGCCCACTTCAGAAAGCAATGACTCACTCCATGGAAATGCCTATTCCTCTCTGGTGATTATAAAGGCAGCCTACATCATTACCTTGGATGTAGACATTTGGTCAGATTAACCCAGAATAAGAGCCCTGGCTATGAATCAGGACTCCAGTGTGCTTGACACTGAATAAACTCCAAACAAAATGTTCCATTCCTAATGGGTCCATGTTAAAGACAGAAGATAAATGGATACAGTCAGAGAAGAACATTGAGACCATAATGGCCAGCACTGAGAGTTAATGACCTCAGTGTGAAAGTGACTTAAATTCTATCAGGTCTTTGAGGAAGGATTTGAAGAACAATCATCTCCCTTGAGTGTGGGAAAACGCTGCTCAGATGAAGGAGAATCCCCCAGCAAAAGGACATGCAGGTTTTGGGCTGAAGCCCTATCATTTTTGACAGGAGAGCTGATGTTATTAGCCAGGCAGAAATGGGAACTAAATCTCTAGTAAAAGATTGTGATGAGTGATAAAATATTTTGATAGTGAAGATAGATAGGTTCAAAGAGAAAAGGTGTTAAGATTACAGCTAGATATATAGGAGCTGCCTTAATCAGGATGCAAGCTGATGAGGACAGGAGGTTTATCTATGTGGACAGATGAAAACATTATACTTTTGAAATCTCATTCTGGAAAAATAACTGTAAAATAGTAGAGAAAGGTCTAAATGAAAGGTAAAACCCAAGTCATCGATAAATGACAGGTAGGAAAACTGCATTTGCATTGCTTTAGCTAATAGGTACCAGACAATGTCCATTTTGGATGGTAAATATGGCATGCTAACTTGTGATGTCAGCCTGAAATCAAATAAACTTCACTTATCTGCTTGAGGAAGGAAATAGGCCTGGGAACAGCAATGATGCTTCCATAACAATGCTATAGTGACAATTTTCCTTCTTATTTTCCTTCTTTTAGTTTTGCTCGTCCAGGGAAAGGATCATGGCTTGGTAAAGGCAACCTGGAGACAGGACCAGACCAGTCCAGTATGTCCTTAGAGAATCTAGTGTTTGGCGCTGGCTACTGCAAACCCACTTCTTCAGAGGTAAGGAGAGCACATAATGAAATTTTCATCCATTTGGTCCCACAGAGTCAGCATTATCTGAGCAAGAATGTGGCCTGGATTATGTGCTAGTACAGACAGTTTGTCTGAGGAAGAACCGTTCAAGCATTTCTCTATGACCTGCCTGACACTTGGATACACAACTCCTGTGTTTTCAGCCTTCAGCTACACCATCTATTTAAGAAAGTGCTCAGGGTGTATGCATTCTCAGTTCATGGACTGCCAATGCCACTTTCAAAGAGGGATTTCTCTGACCAGGAGTCTGCTCTAGAGATTAATTAATCACTTGAAGATCTTAGCTTTCAGATCTTACGTCCACCAATCAATGGAAATGAGTCATTATAAATGTTGTAATTAGCAGTAGGTCAAAATTGGCAGCAAGAAGCTAGACTTGAATAGGATTCTGCCTGGAGCAGTGAGGAAGGAGTATTGTGCATGTTGATGAAGGAGTTTCATGCACCGTACTTTACTCAAGGTGATTTCCTCAGTTTGTGCATCTTTTTGATCTTGGTACTTACTGCAGGTGATAAGCAGAGCTTGTTGTGCAATTTTTTAGTACAAAGTTGTTTGGAAAATAATGATTAATTGAACTTTTTGTTTGTTTATTTGTTTTGTACAAAAGTACTAGCTTTGAAGTTTTTTTTTTTTTATGTCACAACTTTTTTTTGAGATCTAGAATCTCAATTTAGAATAGTGGAATTATCAAGTGGTACGAAGCCATGATTCAAGGATCCTGATTGACATGCTACCCTGAGCTTCCCTCCACCTTTCCTGTTGAAGCTGTCCAGTTTTACATAAATATTAAAAATACACTGCCTTAGAGAGACTGATTCAGAACGATAATCAGGGAATTAACCCAGACTGTAAGAGTGTTTGGCCTGAAGCTACTATCCTGACCATTGGATTATTGTATGCTGTTGGCAAGAAAACTGACCTTATTCTCTCTCTGCTTGGTAGACAGTCACATCATATAAATTTTAATAATTTTAGTGTGTATCTTAGGAGACTAATCTCTGTATCTCTCTATATATCACAAAAGAGAGAAAGATTTATTTGAAGAGTAGTTATTTCTCTTTGTTATTCTGTGGGTAAATCTCTATTCCATGAAGATAAGTAGAATGACTGACCCTCCATTTCCATTTTCTCCTTCACTCCTTATGGAAAAGTCTTAGTCTGATGTTGAAGAGAAAACTGAATTCCTGCCCATGGTTGCCTCAGCTGCAAACATTATTTTCTATTCATCTCTGTTGACTGGTCTTGCTTGATGAGAGCATAATTATTAGCCTAGCAGGTGACTATTAAATGGTAAAGTGAATACATGCTATCTTGAACCTACTTTAGCACTTCGTTGTACTGCAGCATGTCACATATTAAAAAGTCAGAAGTATAATGTTGGACACTCCACCTTCCCCTGGTCAAATGTGCATTTGCTTAGCTTTGGAAACCTCTATTGGCCATGACATCTGTTCTTGATCTGAGCATTTAAGTTTAATAGATTGTGATGGCCTTTTTGCAAATGATCTCCATGGTGCATGATGACTGATTCCCTTGTCTTAATGTAAAAGAATTACTAAATAGGAGCTAAGAAAGAAACTACTGTGGAGGTGGGGATAATGCCAGTTCCTGTAATCCTGGGGATCCTGTAATATTGCCCCTATATTTTTGCTCTTGCAGACATGTCTTTTGTTCCTTTAACCTCGAAAGTCATATAACTGTGGATGTAAATAACACATGAAATACGTGAAAATTTGAAGATAAATACTTACACTTAATGATCTTTGAGGGTAAAAGATAAGACTCTCTTTAACGAGAAGAATAAGACTTGCACAATGGTATATTCAACTACAAACACCTAAACTCAACATCCACCTGCGCTTGAAACTCTGATTCAGTGCCTGAATGCACTGGTTTTGCCAATGCATGGCAAAGCCAATAATTTCCTGGTTTCTCCATATCAGTCTTTTCTATATGTTCATTATATCATTTCACTCTCACCAAAGTTATCCTCTGATTTGAATAGAAAAATCATGAACATTTCCCTTTCTCTGGGAACTCTGGCTCTTTCAGTTCCTTTGCATCTGTATGTTTCAGCTTGTTTGCCTCCCTTCTTTTCTGCTGGGATTTTAAGTCAATTGAGGTTTAACAATTGAGGGTGAACTGAAAGAGCTGTGGTTTTTATTGTTGTTGTTTTCCAGGCTATTTTTTGCAGAATGCTTCCATTTTAGTGGAAACCTGTGATGGTTAGGAATTCTGAATATTCCCATTACACTTCTCTTGCTTCAAGACTATGATCTGCATAACTTAAAACCCGTTTGTAAATGGATGCTTTATTATATCTGGGGCACTTATTGAGTTGACTAGATTCATAGGTTCAACATAAATTATAGACATGGTCACAAAAGAAAATATTCTCACTGGCGTCATATACACTATCAGATGTTTAGTGACATTGTTCTGACAAGAGGCCAACACGCAGCTTCAGCAGAGTAGTGGATGGACTTAAGCAGTGGCCCTCAGGAAAGCCAGAATTGTGTTAAAATCTGATGTTAATACCATAAGGTCATGTCTTCCAGACATGTCTTGAATGTAAAGAAGAGAACTTTTACATTGACATAGCATCCCTTTTGTTTCATTAATGAGAGAACTCTTTGGATTAATAGGCCCATTAAATAACTGTGGAAGTTCTCAGATAGTTTATATACTCATTTGGCTTTTTTCTTCCTGAAAATGCAAGTGACATTTCTAAAGAAAGTTTTTATCAATCATCAGGTTCTCTTGTCTCTTACTGTGCTAATCTTCTGGTTTGGAGCTACTGAGGTGCCACTGCTTAGTGACAGATCTTGAAGGCTCCTTGTTCTGCATTTCTGACTTCTCAAGGCAAAAACTAATTAAATGTCATCAACTTTAGATTACACATGTCCAATTTCCTTAGCTTTCCCCAGCTGACCTCTGTACACCACTGGCAATTTATTCATTTCTCGTCTTATCAGATTCTACTCCATCCTGATACAAAAGCTTTACTGGACTTTTGTTATCTTTTCCGTTCCTTTTCCAGTCACTTACTCAGTAAGCAGGGTTCTTCTTTTCCTCTTTCATTGTTTCCCTCCTCCCTTCTTCCCTAATATTTTCTACGTAGCTATATAGAAGGTGTTTCTTAAACCAGGATGCACTACAGAACAAAGATACTTCACTTTTCTGCTATGATATGCTTTTGCTTTTCAAGCAAGGATAAAACATCAGAACTATTTCTTATTGATGAGTGCCTTTTGTTGTCAGAAAACATGAAATAACTTTTTTTTATCAAGAAAACAATAGGAAACTGTATGAAGAATAAGCAAATGCGCTAATGCTTTCCGAAGATCTCCTCTCCTAATGACCTATATTTATGCATATATATATATACATATATATGTATCAGGATGTTAGCAATATGTTCAAAATAGGGTCCTATCTACTGTAGGCTTGGGATATCTGAATAAAAGACACCCATCGGCTGTGTGTGGCTGACTTATCTCATGGGCAACTAAATTCCCCAGAGGTACTGGTAAATTGTTTTTCCCAGTGAGGGGGTTCAAGAAAATGTTTCACATATTGCAAGCTCCATATCTGCATGTAACACAGTGTGATCACAGCAGCCACAAAAGCTGGACACTGAAAAAACATATAGAGAACCTATATTTAGAATGAAACAGAAAAGACTCTCTGCACACCTGAACACTAAACTAGCATACAGATCTTTGAGGTTATATACCTTGCTCTGTACCATACACTCTCCTGTATCCATTGTTTTCAGTCTGTTTTAATGGTTTTCTGTAATATTGTATATCATATGCCTGCTGAGTTATAATCGAGTTGAGTCAATGACATACTGCAGGTTATTAATAAACTGTGCTGACTGTAATCTTATTTTCATTTGGTTAACGATTCCACTGAAGAAAAAAATGACTTCTAACTAATCAAATTTATTAACTGTATGGCTTCCCATTAATAAGGCACTGGTGCTTGATAAGGAGTATTCTCCTATTTAGCATTCATGTAGCGATCACAATAGACAAAGTTTATGCATGGTTTAGTACGGGGGATAGAAGTGTCTTTCATACAGAACTACATAAAGGAGTTCCTTCTCACAGACAATTCACCAATGTTTTAAGTTTTCTAGCAACATCTGACAAATCTAAGCTATTTCCAAAATGTAGTTCAAATTCACATTGCCGTGTCACATAGGCAACATCTGTACTTTAAGCCTCTGCTATTTTCCATAGCTGGGCCATAGTTCCTCATGATACATCACTTTTTCAGCTGTTGGTAAAAGTTTGTTGTATGCTGGAGAACAGTGGGTGTAAGGTCCACACTCTGAAGGCCCTATGTATTTGTTTGTTAGAAGTTATTATGGTTCTATGAAGTTGAGAATACGTGGCTTCAATCCCTCTCAGACATAGGAATGTTTCTTTAGAGTTTCCTGCTATTTCTTTTTTTAATGAGAGAAAGACAGAAGAAAAAGGAAGGCTAAAAAAAGAAGGGGAAGTGGAGAGGGAAGGGAAATAGGAGAGAGAGAGTGGGGAAAAGGAAAATAAAGGAAGTTGTTAGTTTTACTGAAAGACTAAAATTTTGTGAAGGCTAAAACTCAGGTGTTTCCTTTAAATGGAAATATACTTGGAATTTTTCTCCTTTTTAACATTGAAACTAGCAGTGATTTGGTAATGATGTAACTCCTGCTGTATAAAGAAGAACCTGATGTGTCTACATGACTGGGAAGTTACCAAGCCTTTTAAAATTTTTTTTCATTAACTGTGTTCCAAAAATATTGTTTTAGAAACAATGTGGTCATTTATAAACTTAAGTCATAGTTAAGATTTTGATTTTACTGGTGCAAAACTTGAATATTTTAAATAGCTAGTGTAGCTTTGATTTGCATTTATCTCATGTAAATCCAAAGTACAGAACTGTAGTTTACATCTGAAATTTCACCCATGATTTTTAAT